TGCAATAGGACTGAAACCAACTTCTAGCAATAAAAAAAAGAACATTTAAAAACTGTCTGCCTTTATATCTATATAATTATTTATTGTTTTCTGTTTGAATGAAGATCAAAGCAGCTGCCACTTCTCACGTGCTTCTCATTTTCTACCCTGGACAGAAATAATGTGCCACAGGAACAAAACTGTGATGCTTTTCCAAAGGAGAGGACGGAGCATAGGAGGTGTTCGGTGCAGAACACAAATAGCTGCAGCCCTTGGCAGTGAGGTGAACACCTGAGGGAAAGATCAGCTGCTCCCAAACATCTGAACTCTGCTGCTGAGAGAGAGAACTCGCTGAAGTTGCTTACATTAGCGTGGAGGTGCTTTGCATGGTGCCAGCCTGAGACATGCCTGGCTCTGTCCCAGGCAGTATCGGTTCCCACTTGGAACAAGGATAACAAAAATAGAAACTTTCTCCCTAGTGCTCGTGCCAGTTTGGCAGCCCTTGCTGCCAGCACCATCCCATAGCCTCTGGCTGGGGCTGCTCTTCCCAGCATTGCAGCAGGCTGAGTTTCCTGCTGAAATCCCCACTGGTGGCACAGCTGGCAAGCGAATCCAAGAGCTGGAACCTCCAGTCATTTCTAGAGAGGAGAACAGATGCAAAACCAGGGAGACAGTGGGAGAGCTGGGTGCTTGAGAGATTGGTGCTCTCAAGGAAGAGGGAGAGGTTTATCAGCAGAATCCTGCGCTGCAGCCAGGGCTGAGGGAAACCCTGAGCCAGGGGTGGTGGCAGTGCCAGGTCTGACTGTCACTGCCTTTGGGGTTTATCAAAGCAGCTTTGGGGGACCCCTGGCCCTTTGTGTGCAGGAGTCAGTAAAACAAGCCAGCATTTGTCAGCCTCTGAAGTGCATGTGACATCTGTGTTGTGACACAAACTGGAACTCGGCTGGAAAAACAAAATTTTTTCTACTTTTCCACATACATAAATAATCAAAGACCAGTGTTTAAAATTTGGTCTTATGGGAACTAACAGGCTGTCATGTGAGAGAATGACGTCTCAAAGAAAGTGTGTGTGTAGAAGCTTTTGCTTGTGTTCTTTTTAGGAAAATATTTCTTCCATGTGTGGAGCTCCTGGGAGCTGAGCCACAGTGCCTGCTGGAGATCAGTCACTGCCTCTGTGCTTCCAGACCTCGTGTCTGTGTCACCACAGCAAGGCCAGTCGCTCCATGTCCATTTCTAAATACTTTTTGGCAGCAAGAAGTGGAATCAAAGTGGTTTTGTGGGGGACAGCAGGGAGGGAGAGTCTGGGAGAGAAGCTAAGAAGAGCTGCACTGCACTCTTGTGCAGCTGTTTTCATGTCAGACCTGCAGGAATTGTTTTCAGGAAGACAGGAACAGCCTGGATCAGGAAAATCCAGGGTTAACATGGCCAAGAGGGATCCCTGCAGCACAGATTCCCACTGGGAACTGCCCAGCTGCAGCAGCCCAGACCTCAGCAGAGGCAAGTTTAAATCCTGGGCAGAATTTGCATCTGTTGGAAGTTCGGTGCTGCTGCAGCCATCCCTGTTCAAAGGTGTGTAGGTGTTGCTGTGTTCAGTTTTTGCCACAACAGCAGGGCAGACATTCCTTGGGGATTGCAAACACCTTTCCTGGCAGTGGCACTGATAACGCTGTCACTCTGTGAGACACGGAGGGTGTGACTTCAGGACACGGCTGGCGCTGCCTTCAGAGCTGGTAATTTGCTCACCCCGATATTCCAGCAGCTCCGCCCTGCCTTGTCTCTCTCTCCAATCTGCAGCTAATTAACCCGAAACCCAAACCACATTCTTTCTGTGCATGAATCATGCCGAGGCCATCGGCAATGACCAGCTTTATGCTAAACCTCCCTCTTTCATGTGGGTGAGACAAGGCTGATGGTTCCCATACGTGCATCTGAGATTCATCTGTGAGCCAGATGCTCGAGGACAAACATGCACAGAGGATATTGGCTGCACAGTGTGCTCCAGCAGTGGGAATGTGCTGCTCGCTGCCTTTCCCTTTCCTCAGCCCTGTGACTCAAATCCGGTTTCATTTCTCATCCCAGCGATGGGGCCAGCCCAAGGCGCAGCAGACCAGGGATGTGGGGCCTGTCCTACATTGTCTGCTGCTCCTGTGCCCGTGGGATCTGGCAGAGGATAAAAGCCAAACCCTTCTGGAGCTGGCAGTGCTGGAGCACACGACACAGGGTCCTCAGCTCTGGGGCTGTCACAGGCACTGGAGGCTCAGACAGGGCAGCATCACTTTGTTCTGGGGCTCCTTGACTTTGCACAAAGGCCTGGAGTGACAGGACACAGGGAATGGCTCCCAGTTGCAGAGGGCAGGGCTGGATGGGATATTGGGAAGGAATTGTTGGCTGGGAGGGTGGGCAGGCCCTGGCACAGGGTGCCCAGAGCAGCTGTGGCTGCCCCTGGATCCCTGGCAGTGTCCAAGGCCAGGCTGGACGGGGCTTGGAGCAGCCTGGGACAGTGGAAGGTGTCCCTGCCATGGCAAGGGTGGCACTGGATGGGCTTTGAGGTCCCTTCCAACCCAAACCATTCCATGATTCCTCACTCACAGGACCATGAAAACTCCTTGCTGACAGCACAGTGTGGATGTGCCTCTCCTGTGTCAGAGCAGCAGCTGATGTCATTTCTCAGTGTGGAGCAGTGTCTTGCTAGACCTGAAGCCATCCCAGATGACTACACATGAAATGCAGATCTCTCAGGGAATTTCAGGTGTGCAATGTCCCTTTTCCCTTCTGGAACATTGGAAATCATGAACAAAACCACACAGTGTGTAATTAAAACTTTGTTTTTCCTGGGCTGCCATGAATTACCATTGTAACAGTTCCTTGCTAGATGTGAGGTGGGTGTGCTGCAGAACATTTTCATGATCCATATCCCATCTTTACCAGGAAGGGAAATTTCTCAGCCCCTGCTGTGCTTGGAAGGGAGAAAGGCCACAATGCTGCCTTGGTGCTCTGGCAGCAGGAGCTGCTGAGCAGGAGGCACCTACAAACCCAAGAAACAATTCCCTTAAAATCAACCCTGTCTGTCTTGTGGGCAGGAGGGGGGTGGATCAATCTGATTGCAGATTTCTCTGGCTGTGGTGCTTTCTAAGCTTTGTGTGAGAAGAGGAACATCCCATGGGACAGTGATATCACACTTTGCTTTACCTTTGAGCCCAGTGATGCCCATGTGAGTTGCCTCTTCCAGATGTGACTTTGGGCTGGGGTCTAACTCCTGCAGCTGGAGATGCAGACACAAAGTGGGGATTTGGGCTAGGAGAGGTCTGGGTTTGAGCTATGCTGAGATTCTAAATGAATTCTATTAATTCACGAGGATTTTTACCCCAGCAACCAAATTCACCTCGAAATCAAATTCACCTCCAGCTCAGTTGGCCTGAACCTTCTGGCCCTGGCACTGAAGGAGCGAGTGGATCCAGCATGGAAATGTCAAACTGGGAAAACAGGTCTGTTGGGACGACTCGGGCACACAGCAGTGGAGCTCCCTCGTTTTCCACAGGAGCTGGGAGCTGGTTCCTGCCAGGGGAGGTGGAGCTGGAGGGGCAGCACGGGGCTCTCTGCCAGCTGAAGGAGGATGAACCGATGCAGTTCAGCCCGGGCTGGCTTTGTTGCTGGCTTTGCTGCCTGCAGCAGGGAGGCTCCGCGGAGCAGCCTGGCCCAGGTGTGCTTGGATTGAAAGGAGAGAGCGATGCCCAGCCCTGCAAAGGCTGCAGCAGCAGCAGCAGAGCTGGGGCTCATTCCCCCAGCTGAGAACAGCCGAGCCTGGCTCAGATAACGCCCAGGCAGACGGATCCGTGCTGCTGGAAGCTGCTCCATCCCCGGAGCAGGAGGCGGATGTGGCAGGGAGCCAGCGTTTATTGCTTGGCAGCATAAACAAAACAGCTGCTGCTGCTCAAACGCCATGAATGAAACCTCTGCTCCTCTGACTGAGCACAGTCGGACTCTGTCCAGCCCTCAGGAGTAGCTGGAGCTGTAACAAAGGTGAGGCAGCTCCTGGCTGGATAACAGGGTTGGAGACGCTTCCAGATGGCTGCTGGTCCCAGCAGAGTCCTGTGCTGTGACTTTCCCCACTTGCAAGGCACAGCCAGGCTGGCAGCTGCTGGATGGTTGGATCCCATGATCTTAACAGCCTTTTCTCATCAGAATGAGTCTGTCTCCCTGCTGCTGCCTGTGTGCTCCAGGAGGGATGTGGGCTCCTCTCCCTGCAGCCTGACCAGCTCCCGTTGGGCTCAGCTAGCGATGGAGAGGAGGCACAACAAGGGTTTGTGAAAAAAGGCCCAGCCTGGGGGCTGAAAATGGCAAAAGCATCAGAAAAGGGGGTGGAAATGAAGCTGGTCCATCTGCTCCAGCCCCCAGCAGCAGGGCAGCTCCCTTCCTTTCTATCCTGCCGGCTCTTGCCTGTGCAAGCAGCTCGGAAGAGTTGTGACACTGATTTATTTAATTCTGAAATAATGGATCACACCCAAACCATGCTTCTGTGGTGAGACAGTTGTACCTTTGGTGCCTGTTTCCTCTGACCATGCTGGTTCCTGTCTCACCTCCTCCCCTTAACAGAGCTTTTCTTTCCCAGGCACTGCCTCCCCTCACCTGGAACAGGGCCTGGAGCACAAAGCCCTTTGGGACAGAAGGGGCAGCACTTTCTCCCATTCTTTTGGAAAGTAGGGAAACCCCAGTCTGTGAAGAGTGACTGGAAAAGGGTAGAGAATACCTTAATCTTTGAAGTTTTGAAGAGTTTTGTGTCTCCTTCAAAGCCAGAAGGCAGTGTGAGATCTGAGCTTTCCTCAGTGCCAAGTTACAAAGGTACAGGAAGATCTGAGCCCTTGATTTGGACTGCAGCAGGGACTGCTCCTCACTGCTCTACTAAATATGGTCTCACTGTGAGCTGGGAAAACCTGCACCTGAAACACACAGAACAGGCAAGGGACATGGTGGATTTTATTCAGATTTATTGAAACAGCTCCAGGCTGAGTAATAAACAAACAAAACTGCTGTATAAAAAAGAAATAAACGTACAGAACCAGCCCGTGGGCAAAGTACTTCACATGCTCTGACATTCCAGGCTACTGCTTGGGTGCTGTGAGTCCCAGCAGTGCAGTCCTGCAGCTGCTCAGGAGTGTCCTTTCTCCTTTCTAGTACCACTGAAACCAAAATAATCCCTCTGGTTCCTGCTCCGAGATCGCACAAGTTAGGAGAAAACTTGGAGACCTTTTTCTATCTCGGGGGACAGCACAAGCTGTCATCCCAAGGAGGTCCCCCCATGCCTGTCCCCTCCCTGGCCTGACCAAGGGGATGGATTTGCAGAAGCAATTCAAAGCCGAGCTGCCTTGAGCCCTGCTGGTGCTGATGGGCTCCACGCTGGCACCCAGCTCACAGACTCCAGGTGGAGGAGGTGCTCCTGCTGCCTGCATGCTCCATCTTCATCCTCAGCCAAGGGAGGCACTTGGCAAAATCAGGTGTGAAGCCTGTGGTGCAGAGCAGAGCATTGTGAGACCAGGGCACAGCAACCCCAAGCCCACTCCTCAGGCCTCAAACCCCAGAGAAATCCCAGCAATGCCTGCTGGTTTCCCTCTACAGCCAGGAATTTTCTAAAGGTATTACTGGATATTTTATTACAGTAAATAATTTTATTTAGACAGCACGACTCTTGCAAGGAGAAAAGGAAAACCCTGCAGGGTCTGTGATTCACTGGCATCATTTCTGCCAAAAGCCTTTAGAAAAGGTTTAATTCCAGTTGCAAATGTTGAAAGTCAATCTCTGTGTAGCAGAAAAGCAATGGCATGAAAAGGACACCAGAGAATAATTAGAAGCAGAGAAACCCTGTGTTTATACATAGACAAGGCTTGTCTTATAAATGCAATTACCCACCATTCTGGGACTAAATCCCAGCTATAATCTTGTTCTGGCACCAGCTCACAGCCCTGGCGTCCCACAAGACATTTGGGTGCCACTGGCAGATTAAGCATGGCACCAGGAGGAGGAGGCTGTGCTAAAAGCAGCAGCTGGAGCCGGTGGCACCACAGGGTCTGTCCCAGCTCCTGCAGACAGCCTGCCTGCAAAAACATCGACTCCTCCAGCCTCCTGACCCAGCAGCGACACCCAATCCTCACACACAGCATTCCCCAAAATCCTTGCGCAGGCCAAGATGCCAGGTTCAGCGTCTTGTTATTTATACTGATTTTCTCCCTGCAGTGTTTCAGCACCTAGAGATATCTCTCTCCTGCAGGGGTTTTAGATCCCACACTACCAGCCTGAAGTTTTGGAGCTGATGTTCACACGAGGCTGGAACAACTCCAGTTCAGAGCCACGTGCATCTGCCCCTCAAGTTTTAACCTGCTACAGAGGAGCTCTGGCTGACCCACAGCTATTTTACCTTCCAGGTCCCTCGCCACGCTCAGGCAGACAGGTACTTCCAGGTGCTGACGAAGGCGGTGGGGATGAGGGCGTAAGGCACCGTGGTGACGCTGCTCCAGGTGTCGGACGAGGGGTCGTAGCAGTCCAGGGTTTTGCAGCGCTGAGCCCCGCAGTAGCCCCCCACCACGTAGAGCCTGTTTCCCGAGGTGACAGCGCGGCAGCTGATGCACTTGGCGGTGACATCCCCAAACTTGGACCACTGGAAGGTGTCGCTGTGGAAGCGGTAAGCGGAGCTGGCCGAGAACTCCGTGTCCCCGCCGATGACGATGACGTGGCTGCCCACCACGGCGGCGGCCGTGTAGCGCCAGGGCTGGGGGCAGCTGGCGGGCACCGTCCAGCGGTTCTGGCACGGGTCGAAGCACTGCACCTTGGGCAGCTTGTTCTGGTTGGCGCTGGTGCCCCCAAAAACAAACAGCTTCATCTTGGCTCCCACCACGGCGGCGTTGCTCACGCCTTCCCGGAGAGGAGCCACCAGCGACCACTTGTCCAGCTGAGGGTCGTAGTGCTCCACCTGCTTGAGGGACACGGAGGGAGAGGCCGGGAATGCCCCGCTCATGGCCGTGTGACCCCCCACCACGTACAGGCAGTGGTCCAGCTCGGCGGAGCCGTGGCCAAACCGCGCCACCAGCATGGGAGCGGCTTTGGCCCACTCGTCGTGGAGGGTGTCGTACACCCAGACGTCCCTGGAAGCGCCGTTCTCGGAGCCCTTGCCGCCGGTGATGTAGACCTTGCAGCCGATGGCGCAGGCGCTGCACTCCTTGCGGGGGCTGGGGATGTCGGCACGAGGGATGATCTCGCTGCTTTTATGGTCCAGCATGTAAATCTTGTCGCACATGAAGGTCTGGCCCCCGAGCAGCAGCAGGGCCTGGCTGACCTTGCGGGGCCGGGCGCAGCACCCCGTCACCAGCCCGTCGTTCTGCAGGATCTTCATTTTGCATCGCACGGCGTCGGCCACGATCTCCTCCCCCAGCTTGTGGCTGGTCACCAGCTTCTCACAGGCCACCTGCTTCCGCAGGTAGGACTCGGGCAGCAGGGCCAGGCGGACGGAGCGCAGCAGCTCGGGCAGAACTTCGTGGCGTCGGGGCAAATCGTAGCGGATCCAGCCTATAACGGCTTCATAGACCAGTGTCTCATCCTCTACCTCCAGCTCCTCGCTCTCCACCAGCTCCAGCAGCTTGTCTTTGGGCAGTCGGAGGAAATCTTCAGTCTTGCACAGCGAGGTGAAGTTGGCCAAGGCCATCCTCCAGGACAGCTCCAGCAGCCGCTCGCAGCAGTGGGCATCGGACAGCAGCAGCATGTTCAGGCAATTCCCAGGGTAGAGATTCTTCTCCAGAAAATCAGCCGAAGCATCCCGGATATCCTGGAACTGCAGCATGTCCCCGGCCTCCAGCAGGGACTCCGCGTTCTCCTCGTTGATCAGCACCCGGGCTGAGTAAGCGTAGTCCAGCAGCAGCTCCAGCACCTCGGGGTGCAGCGAGTCGTGGAAGTTCACCTCGGCATCTCTGCTCTCCTTCAGGCCCCCGCTGAACATGGCGTTGAAGTAGCGGCTGCAGGCGGCCAGGACGGCGCGGTGGCAGGGGAAGCTCTGGTTCCCAGCCCGCAGCACCACGTCGGTGAAGAGGTTCTGCTGGCGGAGCAGGTTCAGTTGGGTGAGCAGACTGTCGGCGTGGCCCGGTTTGTGGAAGAGGTGGATGTTCATGGAGCCGGAGCTCGAGCGGGATTTCCGGTTCTCGTGGCTGCTGACGGACATAGCGCTGAGGCCGTGCTGCGGGGCAAAACCGGCGAGTCAGCACGGGCAGCGCTGTCCCGGGCCCGGCACGGCCGGGGCTGCGGCGGGACGGCGGAGAGGAGCCGGTGGTGGGAGCGCGGTCCCGCAGCCGCGGGGCACCGACCCGAACGGGGCACCGGGACCTCCCGGACCAAACACCCCTGCAGCGCACGGCTCCGCCAGGTCTCACCTAGTACCGGGGAGGGGGCGATGTGCGCTCCCGGTGATGCCCGGGCCCCGCCCGCCCCGCGGTCCCGCACCCGGCGCAGGAGTCCCCACCCGGCTGCGCTGTCCCGCGCCTGACTCGGTTATTCTGCACCCGGCCCCGCGTCCCACACCTGGCCCAGCTGTCCCGCACGGTTCCCCTATCCCGTACCCGGTCCCGCACCCGGTTCCGCACCCGGTCCTGTACCCGGTTCCGCACAGCCCCTGCTATGCCGTACCCGGTCCCGTAGCCGGTTCCGCACGGTCCCCCCTGTCCCGCACCCAGTCCTACACCCGCTCCCACAGCCGGTGCCGTACCCGGTCCCGCACGGTCCCCGCTATCCCGTACCCGGTTCCGCACCCGGTCCCCACTATCCCGTACCCGCTCCCGTTGCCGGTCCCGCCCGGTCCCTGCTATCCCGTACCCGGTTCCGTTGCCGGTCCCGGTCCCGCTCCGCTCCAGCTCTGCCGCCGCCCCGCCGCCGCCGCGTGGCCGCCCCGTGCCGGCCCCGCCCCCGCCAGCCCCGCAGCCAATCAGCGCCCGCGGCGCCCGGCGCTCGCTCTTTGTGAATGGGATGCTGGGCCTGCCGTGCGCATGCGCCGCCCGCTGGCCCCGCCCTGCCCGCGGGCAGCGTGGCCGTGTCCCCTCCCCACGTGTGCGGTGACCCCCGGTGATCCCCGGTGTCCCCCGGCCCGAACATCGCGGCGCGGCCCGGGCCTCGACCAGCCGCGCCATGAGGCCGGGACGGCGGACCTGAGGCTCCCGAGCGCGGCGGAGCTTTGCGGACAGAATCACCCGGCCATAAAGGGCCATAAACAGGGCAGCCGCGTTGGGATCAGCAGCGCCTGCCCGCGGCCTTTGGATCCCGGCCTGCTGACACAGGCAGGTCGCGGCTGAACAAACCAGCCCTGCTCAGCAAATGTTTTCCTGCATGGAGCCCACCTGAGAGATGTGGAGCCCGGCCCATCAGCTGCACCGCCAGCACCAGGGCAGGGTGCTTGCCTCGCCAAGGGAAGGAACCATCACCCTCTCTCAGGAGCAAGAGACGAGTTGGGCTGATGGTCACATCAGAAAAGAGAAGAAAACACCAAGTTTTGGGAGGATTTAGTCTGCTTGCACAAGGTCTTGTGCTAAAAATGAGCGAGTGCTGCCCTGGAGAGGCAGCAGCAGCCACCACAGGTGTTTAAACACTGTGTCAGCAGTGATCAAAACCTCCTCAAGAAAAAAATACAAATTCCAGCAATTCTGAATTACCCAATTTTGATTTATCTCTGCATGTTCCAGCTTTACCCGCTGCAAATTAAGGTCAATTGTTGAGGAATTGATGAAGCAAATACACCTAGAGCATTTTACCATGTCCTTCCTCTACAGTAAAATTAATGCATGCTTAAGAGGTTTATTAATTTGGCATCAGGGGTTATGTGGGGTTTCTTGTTTTGTTTTGTTTTTTTTTTAATTGGCAGAGCTACACCTTGTTCTGTGCTGAGCAGTACAGCAAGTCTTGGAGGAATGATTCAATGGGGTTAAGAATACAAAAAAAATCTGATTTATTATTAAAAAACACTAAACTGCAGCAGGAGCCACCACAGTGGGTGACAGGATAAGGCAACAGCCAGAGCTATCCCCAAGCAGAAGGACTTGGGTGCTGTCCCTGTTCAGGCACAGGACTGAGAAAAGGAGAGAAATAACAAGAGTCTCCTCCAGGTAAGCCTTGAGTTGTACCAAAACCTGTCAGTCTGGCAGCAAATCCCCAGCACAGCCAGGAAGGCACCCTCAGGGACACTGCAGGGTGAAGGTCCAGATAAACACCAAGGACAGGACAAAGGATAGAGTATCCAGGCCTCACTCTGCTCTTTGAACACAGGCAAGACCAGTGTTTCCCTGTGTCCACGCCAGAAACAACAACACAAGCCAAGGTCAAACCTCCTGAAGTGCAGCCTGTGCTGAGCTGGGGGCAGGGACACGCAGACTGAGCTGAACTGTTTGCAAAGGATGCATTTCCCTGCAGTCAGGCAGGGGCTGGGAATTATTTCAGCAAGAGGAAGGCTGGTGCCACAAGTGGAGCTGCAGCTCACACAGCACTAATGCTTTGGAGCTTTCCAGAACCAAAGATAAAAAACTTCTCCCTGGTATCAGGAGGAATGATCACTCAAGGCCACCTTTGAAGCATTTGTGTCGTTTATTATTGACAACGCCCAGAACTGTAACTGCAAACCCCACCTCGGCATTGGTTTGATTGCTCCTGTGAAACGTGATTAATAAATTTCCTGCTATCTTTTTTTTTTTTTAATTAAAAAAAAAAGTCCATTGGCAGCTGCCACAGCCTGGTGGAAGAGCTCCACCCGGTGGCATTCCACAAAGGCACAGCTGCAGCCTCAGCTCTGTGGGAAGTCTCGACTTCCAACATTTCTCCTTAAACGGGCAAGGCAGGCTAGGAAGGTTCACGCTGCTTCCAGTGGCAATTTCCTGCCCCCCTCGCCTCTACGGAAACACAACTGTCACAAACAACACCCCTGCTCTGTCTGAGCTCTGGGCTCTGAGCCCAAAGGCCAAAATACCTGGAGAACTCCCAGGACAGGGATCCCAGCCCTGGCTCAGAGGCAGCACCAAGCACCTAGCCCAGAGTGTGAACTCTCAGGATTCATCCCTGACCAGTTCTCTGTGACAGAATCGTGGCCATTGTGCTCTTTTAAGTAGCAGAAAACCTGGGAGGTTGCATTTATCTTTTGGGACAGATGGAAGCAGCTCTCTTCCCCTCAGATTTACCCACTGTAGGAGATTCTTGATTTTCAGAATTATTTCTCTGATGAAGAGTGATAAAAATTGTCAAAAAAGCTGCAAACAATCCCTTCTGCAACAGGCATCTGGATTCTAGGCCCAATTATGGGATATCTTAAAATACACCCTGCCTCACTAAAGGCACTTTTACCATGTGAAAACTGGGCTTGTGAAGCTCAGTTATGGCTTAAGCAGCTTCAGAATTTGCTCCTCTTGATGCCTGGTAGATTCCAATCAGGGAGGAGATGGTCCCCAGGAGTCCTACCAACCATGGAGGGAACCTTCCTGCCCAGAGGAATCCTGGAGGCAGCCAGTGGATTGCATTGCAGAGATCTGCTGTGTTCATGAGGATGCTTAAAACTTCAGCCTTCACCTGTGCTCTCAGCTTCTGCTGGCTCTGAGGTGAAGAAGTGCTGCTGGAAGAAAAGGTGATATCAGTGACAGTCCAGAATGTCCTAATAACTGTGATGGCTACAGATGAGAACCGACAGATGTGGATGAGTTACAGGAAAGATGGAGAGGGACTTTGGAAAAGGGCACGGGGGGGACAAGAAAAGGGAGAAACGGCTTCCACTGCCAGAGGGCAGGGCTGGATGGGATATTGGGAAGGAATTGTTGGCTGGGAGGGTGGGCAGGCCCTGGCACAGGGTGCCCAGAGCAGCTGTGGCTGCCCCTGGATCCCTGGGAGTGTCCAGTGCCAGGCTGGACGGGGCTTGGAGCAGCCTGGGACAGTGGAAGGTGTCCCTGCCATAGCAGGGGATGGGATGGGCTTTAAGATCCCTTCCAACCCAAACCATTCTGGCATTCCATGATCAGCCACGGAGGGAAATCATACCACTTGTGCTGGCTCAGTTTTCTTCTTAACTGGAACAAGATTCTCAGGGATCTAGAAAGAACAGAGTTATTTCTCCTACAGCACCCAACAGGAGGGTTTTTTTTCCTCTTGCACTAAGTGCTTCAGTGAGGAAGAGCACCTTCCCCAGCTCTGCTGCAGCCCCCCGGGGCCGTACCGCAGGATGCCCAGGAGCAGGGCACAGCCCCACAGCGCCGTGCTCCGCGTCCACCACTTCTGGGAGCCGGCGCGGACGATGCCGATATCCGCGGCCCACGCCAGGTGCTCGCAGGGGTAGTAGAGCTGGTTGGCCACGTTGCAGAGCACCGAGAGCCCCCGCAGCAGCGCGTCCTCGCCCTGCGGGGAGCGGCACATGGGGCACGGCCGCGGCGGAGCCGGGGGCGCTGCCGGGGACCCCCGGAGCCGCGCTCACCTCGGGGCCCAGCCCGTAGCTGCAGCTGTAGCGGAGCATGGCCAGGTCGTCGAAGAGGCGCAGGGCGGTGCGGCAGGAGCTGAGCTGGGCAGAGGCGGCCAGGAGCCCCCCGGGCAGCCCCGCGGGCCCGGGCAGCGCTGCCCCCAGCAGCTGGCAGCCGTAGCACAGCGCCCGGACCTGCGGGAACCCGCTCAGGGGAGGTGATGCTGCAAGCAGGGCTGGGGATCTCCTTCTCCTCTCTTTAATCCTTTCTTTTTCTCCCTCTTTTCTCCTCTTCTCCTTTCTTTAATTCGCCTCTCCCTCTTCAACTTCTCTTCCCTTTACCCAAACCCCATCGCGCTGTGCTCCGGGACTCCCATACCCATTTCTACCCCAAACGTGTCATTTACCGGCAAAACTTGGATTGTTTGCGGACCCTTTGCCTTTTGTCGTTCCTTTCCCCCAACGAGCACTTAGGAATCTCTCAGGTGCTTTCCTCCCCTTAAGGATGGATCGCTACAGTAGAGTCGGGTCCCACCGTTCACCGCCCGGTACCGGAGGGCTCAGACCCCCTTCCGCACTCACCGCCCGGTACCGGAGGGCTCAGGCCCCTCACTCACCGCCCGGTACCGGAGGGCTCAGACCCCTCACTCACCGCCCGGTCGCGGCCCCGGTGCGTCTCCAGCGCGGCCACGAGCTCCCGGAGGGCGCCCGCCGCCATGGCAACACTTCCGGGTGCGGGGTCACGTGTGGCCGCGGAGCACGCCGGGAAGGAGGCGGGGCCGTCGCCATGGCAACTGGCTGCCCCCGCGGCCTAGCCGGGCCCTGCCCGGGGATGGATGGTGCCTGTTATGAATAAAAACTCTCTCAAGAAATCCAGCCCAGTTAAAATACTGTAGGTGTTCGGCTGTGTACGGTTAATTGTACCCCTTGTTTACCCCGACAGTTGTTAGTAATGCTAATTACTTACCGGTTATTGAAGTGTTTTAAGAGTTCTCTTATAAGATGTACCTCTACCCCCTTTCCCTTACTTCCCTGTTATTATGTAACAACCCTGCTCCCTACACTCTTACCTCCCTTTCCCCGTCTGCTGCTGCTTCCAGGGGGCTGTGGGCTGTGTGCCCCGAGGTCATATGCACACTAAGGCACACCAGACACCAAAACAATGAGCCAACAAGGAAATAAAAGGTCAAAGAGACATATCCTAGCAAGCTACAATGGAAGACTGTCTTCCTGCATCACCTGAGCCTGCTCAAAAGGTGTCACCATGACCACAGAGGACTGGGAAAGTGGACAACAAGCCTGAAAAACAAGCCTCATGGCTGCTCTTGTGAGGATGGAAACTCCAGTTTTGCAGTGTGTGCTGAAAAGCTGAATTGTGCCCCCTCCTTGGAGCTGCCAGTGTGGGAACAATGGTGGAACAATGGG